GCCGAATTAGAAATTTAGGTATATTCGCCGGACCACAAAAGTACTTTATATAAATATACTTTTGAAAAGTTCAAAATGTTGGGAATATCAAATTTTAGTAATTAATATATATAATTTCAAAATAATACTGTATTATTGACAATAGGAAAAAGAAATTATATATACACAAAATAAAATAAATTCAATGTGATTTTGACATTGCTTTCCTTTTATAATATTGTCAATATCTGCTTTTATTGTACTTGTCTTTATTCTAAGAATGTTAGTTAAATAGGAATCACTCAACCTATTTCAGTAGTTTTGATGTTTTTCATGCACGAAAAGAATTGTTCACGGCAGTATGAATTACTCCCACATGAATAACAATTTTCGAGATAAGATAACTAATTGTTATTTAGCTCTGGCTCTTGTCCTTTGTCTCGGCAAAGGACTTTGCCCCCTCCCCCTTTTAATGCAATGGGGACTTGAATCTTCTAACACAATCTGACAATAATTTTCTCGATATAAGTTACTAAAGTAAATGAAAATATATCTAAAGATTTTAGGGTGCAGTTGGCCGCATGAAACTATAAAGTGGGTTGCGTGTTGAACAATCCCTGTTCTAAGCACTTGACAACACTTCTATACTTTATGAATATAAAAAAGTTCCTATTGTAGGCATCAAGACTAACAACGAGGGTAACAGCTTTTTCATGTTTACGTCTGACCAGAATAGTCATTGGAATGTCATTTTTCTTACTACTCGCTCAGTCTCTTCTCTCTTAAACATCGAAGAATAAGAACATCAAGGGTATATGAATCTATACTATAAAAAAAGAAACGGTTCTATGTCCGTCACATACTGTCTGCATGTGACATGCACAAATGTAATGTACATGTCAATGTCTGTATCCCTCGTGAATGACTTACATGTACACTTAAGATTTAACAGTTAAATTATGTATGCGTGTGAAACTGTGTACGAGTATGAAATTGTGTATGCGAATGAAATAAGACATTAAAATAATATATTACCTTCCCACTCAGTCTGGACAACCCCTAACTTGTAATGAGCAATAGATACGTAAATTCTGTGACAAAAATAGTTTTGTCTATATTTCTGAGATGGGATATTGTAACTTTGTACACCATTTACATCGTTTGGACGTTTGTCTTCATCTTTATTGCCATATTCACTACGTTTCAGCAGTTGTACGCTCCGACCATCTTCAGGTGATATGCATCGGAATTTCGAACGGAACCCTTTATTTAGTCCACGGGAGTGGATTGTTCTATTTCCACTTTTGCTACTTAAAAAATCTGATAATTATAGGATTTCATGGAAGATGTCTAAAATTATTAGATGATAAATAAAATTATTTTGATTGTCTTTTTTTTACACTGTAGAAATAATTTTAGGGATGCCATTGAATTAAAATGTACACGAGTTTAGGGTGCAGCAAGTCACATGAAAATATCTAGTGGGTCGCAGCTTAGACGTGACTGGCCTAGTCCTTATTTTTAGTACCAAGTGTTTTACTGGCTTAAAGATTTGGTTCGTGAATTTGGTGACAGTAAGTTCAATCTGTGGGTCGGGCAGTGTGTACTTGGACTCAATAGAAACAGGGCAATCAATAACTGAGCAGTACTCGTCCAATTATTATTTTTATAATAACTAGACGAGATATCCTGAGACATGGACAGTGGAACGAGAACACTCTACCCCCGTAGATTAAATAAAAGGTTCAATTCAGAATTTCCTATAAGTTACCCAGATGAATATACACCTGAGAAAAGACAGAGGGCACAATGGCCAAAACGCTGTGATAGAAACAACAAAGATGAGGACAATAGTGATAACTCGTCAATCCCAGACAGAGGTATTTTAATTATTGTATTTTTAAGATTAATTTGTTCGATTTTATTGTATTTTTTAAATATCGTTTCTGTCGTTGTACACTCAGTGTTTTCATCCGTGAGGAAATTGTCCAGAATTTATTGCTATATAGGAGGATTGATATTACATAACAGCTCAGTAGCCTTTTATTTGCTTCTAACGGGATTTTTCTGTTTCTTAATACTTTGATAAGTTTTTGGAAGACATCTTTATCTATTCCATTGTGCCGTCAGTTTTCAGTGTCGCACTTTCCATCCGCTGTTAAAATAATTCCCATTTATTTAAATTGTTTCACTTGTTTGATTTCGGAATTTTGATTTCTGATTTATAATAACAATGCATTCTGCCTTCTTGTAATTGACATTTTAAAGAGAGAATTTCAATGGAAAGAGACAAAAAATGGAAAAAAAACTGTTAAAATGACAAAGGATAATGAAGAATTTAGCAGATACAAAAACATATTTAGTTATTTGAAATATGTTGACATTTGAAAATTAAAATTACGTAAGAGGAAGATTGTGTTTAAAATATATTTAAAATAAATTTCTTGCGATTAAATTCTCAGTCCCTGATTTTACCCTAGACCGTCCACGATAGACACTGGACATTTAGATAGATAGATAGATAGATAGATAGATAGATAGATAGATAGATAGATAGATAGATAGATAGATAGATCCTCAGTTCCTCTTGTCCTAACTACTTAGTTGTAATGGTGAAAATATCTGAGAATGTCAAAAATGTTAGTCTTATAATACATTTGATTAGTGATAATTACGTTTAAACAATAGGATTTTTCTTATCACTTCAGTTTTTCTTTCTATCTTTCTCAGAGAGTATTAATACGTTTTTTTCTCAAATCATTTCGACCCAAGTAAGGTGATAAAATCACTAGGTATTTACTCTGTCTCCCCACTAAGACGAGTTGTGACAAAAGGTCTTTTTTTAAGGTAGGGTCCCGAGCACGTACACCCGGGCTGGGAAGAAAAATTGACCGCATCCCCCGCAACTTGTCGGTTGCGATGACCTCGGTGCGAGCACCGATCCCACCCTCTGGTGCAATGAGAGGGCGCGACTTCGGGAAGATGTTCCCCAGAGCTGGCTACCTCTCAGTATAATTTTTCTAAGTTACGACTCTGTCCTTTGACGGAGTCGCCCCTGAGTGCACTCTGCCCAAGGACAGAGACGCAACTGAGTGATGATAAATAGATGTGTTAGAAACTCCTCAAGAGGGATTTACGACGTAAGTGGTTACTAAGATTGAAGAAACTGATAAAACGTTACAGCTGATAAAGAACAATAAAAAGAGGAGGATTCAAGAAGACAGAAGATGATGATGACTGAATGATTTCTGTTGCATATAAATTCTTATAGATGGTACTTGACAACAAGACAAAAACCTAGAAGAGAGCTTCATCAGCAAGAAGTGTGAGAGACAAAACTACTAGAACAGCACATTTTTTAAATCGAATTCACCCCAAGCAGTAAAGCCACTAAGACGCAAAGGGTTATGGGGATGAAAGAATTAAAAAAACAGAAATATTATTAAGGAGCGAGAACAATGGAAGAGTGATCAAGAATACAGTATATAACAATTGACTTTGTATTTAATTTTTTTTGAAAGCCAAATTTGATCTTCAAAAATTTAAATGCAATGTCAATAATTATCTACTGATAACTCTTCTAATGGGGCATAGAGTCGGAAAAGTTTTCCACAAGCGAGAAGTGAGAGAAAAGAAACTGTTAGCATATGGTTACATCTACCAAATTCAACTGCAAATTGATGAAACCTTGTTACCGATCTAGTACTGCGCTTAAATTCATAAAGTCTAGCTACCATAGCAAAGAGCACTATTTATTTCCGTTTCAAATACAGAAAATGTGGCACAAGGCCAAAAATGGTGAGTGGGGAAATGGACGGTCTTCTGTCTTAATATTAAACTTAACTAGCCACAAACTGACCCAAACATACTATTAGGTTGGTGCAAAAATAATGACGTAAGAATGTCGTTTTTTAACGTAGAAAAGTACGTCAAAAAACGACATTATTACGTCATTATTTTTGAACCAACCTAATACAATATTCCTAACACCAAAACAACACATTCTTACTTACCTTTCTTACTACATTCACCATAATACCTCATGGTCTCTATGAAAAACCTAACTAGTCCCCATATGTACAATTTATTGTCTGTAGGAGGGGATAAACAACAATTTGTACCATAGCAAAGATGTCCTCCAAATAATTACCATGAAATTATTTATATAAAATGTACAGGGCAGTAACTTTATGGCAGTCGGAAAGTACTGAAGCCAAGATGCCAGGTAGGGACCAATAATATTGCTGATTCTTCTTTGGATTTGATCAAGAATCTAAATATATAGCGCGAGAACCACACCATATGTGGCAGCAATATTCTACGCTAGGACGAATGGTAGACATAAATATCTAAGATTCTGAATAGGAAAACTGTCTAACACAGGACAGTGAATCAAGCTTCATAGCAGCTGACCTAGTAATGGATTCAATATAGTCTTTCCACTTCATATCAGTCTAGAATGTTACCCGAGAAGGCGTACTTTAAATTTAAGAATTTCAACAGTAATGAGACCTAATGATGAGAGACCTTGCTGTCAAACATTTGGAACGAACGCAATTTCTGGCATATGCAGTTGGTACTGGGTTCGAAACATCTATACATGATTTAAAAATCCAATATCTAATCATCAATCCACTGCATCCTGCATTTTCTAAGAGACTGTATCCAAAGTAACATTCCCTTTCCCACAGGTGGGAATTTATTTGAATGGAGTCAAAGACAGTTACCTCCCTTCGTCAATAGATTAATGGACATTCCAGTTGTTGACGATGAATACGGCCATTGTTGCGGTCTAATGAGGTTGGCATTCACAGAGTAGTGGTAGTGTTAGCTATAGCGATAGTGCTCGGTGGCCATAACTGTGACGGTAGTGGCTTTGATGAAACTGGTGTCCAAGGGGAAAAATCCCTTGCTTTTTTCAATGGTCGACTCCTAAAAATATTCTTGCAATGCCGATCCCCAAAGATCAAACCTGTTTTTCGATATCTAATTCCAGAAAAAATCACTAGATTTCTTTTAAAATGCTTCAAATTTTAACCTCCCCCTCACACATACTCTCTCTCTCTCTTTCTCTCTCTCTCTTTCTCTCTCTCTCTCTCTCTCATATACATTCTCTCTATCTCTTTCTCGTTCAACCCTGTTCCTCATCTCTCTTTCTCTTTCATACTATCTCATTCTATCTCTCTCACGCGTTCGTTTTTCCTTTTATCTCTCCAAGTGATTCAATCACTTCGCCCTCTTTGTCACACGCACGCGCATAAACACACACACACACACACAGAATTTTCTTTCTTTTTCACTCCCCTTAGTTGTCATGTCTCTCTTGTCCTTCTCACTCAATAACATATATTTCTCTTACACACTCTCTCACATCTTCTTTAAGCCTCTCATTCTCCATCTGTATCAATCACCCATCCTTATGTTTCGATCATACTCTCTCTCAGTCACTCTCTCTCCCTCCCTCTCTCCCCCTCTCTCTCTCTTTCTATCAGCCTCTCTCATTCATTTTGTTCCTCTAGCTCCCCCAATTCACTCAACTGCCTATCTTACTCCCCCATACAATCTCTTATTCTATCTATCTCTCGTGGATTCGTTCTTCCTCTCCTTTTCATCTCTCCAACTGACTCAGTCACACATCTTTCTCTTTCCCCTCTCTCTCTCTCTCTCTCTCTCTTTCTCTCTACCCTCCTCCTCTTCTTTCTTCTTCTTCTTCTGACCTGTCACCTCCGTTTTTTATCAAGTCCGATTTCTTTTCAGATGGACACAATAACAGCGTTACTTTCAAAGAGAACACTGTTGGTCAGACTGTCATACAAAGACGGGGTCTGGGGAGCGTAATCACTAACGCACATCGAGAACTTTCAAAAGAAATATTGAACACTTGCACAAGCGAACAAACGTGCTTAGTCTGGCAGATAATCGATATTTGATGACTACGACTGCCTATGACTCGAGCATAAGATAAAATTGGCATCTGAAAATTCTAGTAGAATTTTACTCCAGTTAGGACATGTAAAAACATCTGATGTTTATTCAAAACATTTTGTCAATGTGCGCTGGCATAATGATTATGAAAATGGTGCCGGTGAAACGAGTTCGAATTCTAGTTTCGATTGTACAACCAATATATCCATCCATCTGTATCGTTTTCTTTATTTATTGAAATGCTCTGCATATACAATCATTCGATGGTCGAATCACTATTGAACGTTGTCGAATACTGCTGATTGGATTTCTCGTCGATGTTGTATTTTAAAATATCGTAATTGACAACTGATGGTCATCCATTTTGGGGCTTTAGTCCAAAAAAAAAAAACGGGTGACCACCCCTAAGACGCTTCATCAAGTTTCAGACATTACTGCTTGTTTATTTTACTTCCAATTTCCGAATTCTGCAATTAGCTCCTTTCAGTGGTTTTGAAGCCCAATTTAAAATAAGCTTTCAGAATTACAATATAATATAGTATACAAAATTACTATTCGAAGATAGCCGTCTACTAGGGCGGTTAGCCAATCCCTATTGCAGACACTTGCTCTGGCGCATATGCTGAGCAGACCTTAGTTACAGTTTCTGGGAGAGAGCGTGTTTTCTAGCGTCATCAGCAATTTGAACAAGGCCAGCACGCTCAAGCCCTAGTGACTTCGTGCTAGCACAACTATCGACAGTCCCCAAGGGTTCCGTCTATCCAATTTCACTCACAAGATCAACCCGTGGTATGGTTTTCAGGCACTTTCCAAAGGTGCCACACCCTGGGATCGACCCCTCCAGTCTGATAACATCAGAATTCTCCTTCCTGACAAGATTCAAACCCAGGTCTCATGGTCAGAATGAAAACATTCTAATCACACGGCCATATATATATATATATATATATATATATATATATATATATATATATATATAGCAGCATGGCCCGGCATTGCCTGTGCTTGATTCAAAAATCATACGACTCATACAGCAATCGCTATCACTTGACTTTAAAGGAGTGCCCTTTGCCGTGCTGATGTTGCTACATGCCTTACTTCTTGCCTATCTCACACTGCGATTTTTTCTAAGCTCTATACTAAACATTAAATCTGTTACGAAAAAAGAACTAAATAAAATGAACACAAAACGATCAGCTTTCAAAAAAAAGGACTCGTAACTGGAAAAACCGAATGAAAAAAGAATGTTAACAACAAATACTTTTTCACACCCAACCCAGTTCTGCGGAATCAGAATCAACTTTGAGTTTAAGCAAGCGAATGAGCCAATTGGAGTAAAGTGCCATGCAGATTTAAATTTTTCCCACTTATGACAAATGCAGCTACCGATTTTCTTTGCATGCTAGCATGCTAGTTAATATTCGTGTCAGTCAGCTGTTGGCTCTCACGCTGGCCAATAGAATCTTCCTGCCTATTCGTGGCAGCCAGCTATAGGCTCTCACTCTGGCCAGTAGAAAATGGCCGCAAACTACATGAAAACCACTGTAGAAGCATGAAAAATCGATTATTTCCACTATCGATGGGAGTTGGGAAATACAAAGTCGGCCTTGGCCTTTCCGCTAACTTGGAGCATGTGCATGTAAATTTTGGTGCAAATCCGTCGAAAATTGCGGCCATGCATTCGTTACACACACACACACACACACATCCTTTTATATATATATATATATATATATATATATATATATATATATATATATATATATATATATATATTCGCTAAAAATGCGCTTACGGGATGAAAAATCCCCCAAAAATGTAATAATATATATATATATATATATATATATATTAAGTGATAAGTCAACTCGTTTCCGAGTTAGAACATTTCACATTAGTCCAGCGAGTGTAAACACTTCGGCGTGGTGTATTGGTCAACAATCTTGTTTCTCTCGGTGTCCCATACTTTTCAAGCATTGTGCTACATCTAGCTATGCTTCGAAAATCCCATCAGGCTTACCTCGACGTGGCGTAATGGTTAGCAAGCTTTTCTCGTTAAATCAATTACGACTGAGGAGCAAGTTCGAACCTCACTGGGTGCCCCATACTTTCGGCCACACTTAAATTACGCTTAGAAATTCACCATAAGTCGAGTAAATAACCTACATTTTAAACCAGAGGTTTTGCAAGAAAGCTTACCACTTGCCGTATTGGTATCATGCTGTAATTACTTGTAATACCGAGTAAGATTTTTTTTTTAATTAATACAGCTGTCCCCCATCCAAAGGATCTATCCTTAGACCTACGTTGTTACTAATTTCCATCAACGACCTTCCCGATGTCATCACTTCTCAGTATCTATACTAATGACACAACTATTTACACCTGTCGTATTGGTAAGTGTGTTCGGTTCGATTAGGTGAAATTGACAGCTGATCTAAAAAATGACGTACAATCTGTTGTTAACTGGGACAAGAAATGGCTCGTTAATTTCAACACCTCCAAAATGAAACTGTTCTCTTTTAATTGTCTTTGAGAACTTTTTTTGCCTTTCACCAGGAGAGTGACTCGTTGTGCTTGCTAGGGTTAACCTTTTCCGCTGACATAAAGGAGAAAGATTATATTGAATCATTTGATAGGTCTGCTGCTCGGAGAGTTGTTTCACTGTGTCCTACTAGACACTTTACACATTTATTAGTCTACTATTCATCCATGCATTGAATAATGTTGTCACATCTTTTTTGGTCGTTCTTTTATATATTTACAGATTCTTGATAAAATACAAAGCAAAATCTGCAATGTTATTGGTCTTGACGTGACACCTCGTCTTCAGTCACTTTCCCATCGTTGTAAAGTAGCTTTCCACTGCCTTTTCTATAAATATTTTCATTGTAATTGTCCTGATGAGCTTTCTTTGGTATATTGACTTAATTTAAGCGCAGTGCTAGATTGGAAGCTAGGTCTCATCAGTTTAGAGTTAAAATTGCTAGATTTAGCCGTAAGTTCTATGCTAACAGTTTCTTCAATCGCACTTCTCGATTATGGAACTCTCTTCCGGTTTCTTGCCTTCCAGTTCTTGCTATCTATTCTTCAAATATTTAAATGCAATGCCAATCATTTTCTTCTGTCTTCTTAATTCATGTTGTTTTATTGTTCTCTCTCCTTAATTATGTTTTTTTGTTTTTCTCGTATTCGTTCATGCTCAGCAGCCTTTGCGTCTTAGTGGCATTATTGCCTTACTGGGAGCGAAATGATTAAGAAAGGTCTGCTCACTGACCTGCACGATTTGTTAAATAAATTGCAAGCAAAGCAGGCTGGATATCATCCGGAAAGGCATAGACGCCCACATTCTAAACCAGTGAGAGTCTTTTTCGTACCTTTTCCTGGCAAGAGGGTTAAGTTCTCCGTGTATTGAGAAGCCCGTTTTGGCTCTGCTTATTCAATCCTGCCTTTCTCAAAATCATTAACATCAGTGTCTTCCAAGTAGACCTTCCAGACGCAAGATCTTCCCAAATACTGGTGTATATATTGACCTTAATAGGTGTATCCTTGAGGCAGTCTTTTTAGCTTCTCTGTGGCTTGAACTGCGTTTGTTTACTTTCCATCAGTTCACTATACAGTGATTGATTTAGAAATCGACTGTTCTCTAAGCGTACTAAATGATATTAATTACTATCGTTAGTACTGAATACTGATACATACATACATAAATCATGGCTGCTACTTCGTTGTTGGGAATGACAGACAAGGTAGCATTGTTCTTGTTAGTCTTTCCTTTCCTTCTTTTTCGGTGTTGTCTTGCTTTTTTTTCTTTCTTTTTTTTAAAAATTCACTGTTTTCAGAGGTGCGTTGTTCTTTGAAAATTTCTCACCTTGGCAAGTATCAAAGTTTCCCCTTTCATCATCAGACACCAAATTGGAATTATATTTTATTATATAATCCAACTTTCCTAAGAAAGGTCAAAATCAAATTGGGGTTTGATTTTCGAAAAAGTTCTTTCAAGTTGTTCACGTTGTAAAATAATTTTCAAATATGTGCCATGTCACCGCAATCAAGCAGGAAGTGCTTCACAGTATAAGCCTCCTGGCATGCTATGCATTCAGGAGGATCTTCGTCTTTTAGGAGCAAGGAGTGAGTTATGTGTGTGTGTCCTATGCGAATACGGGATAAAACCACTTCTTCTTTGCGTGATTTTCTGTGTTCAGTTAGTTGTTTCTTTAGAGAGGGTTTGATTTTAAATAATTTGTTGTTTTAACAGTTGTTCCAAGCGTCTTGCCATTTCTTTAAAATAAAGTCCAAACGATTTACAAAAGGAGAGGATATTTATCCGTCCTCTCTCCTACAGAGGTACAATATACTCCAGGACCTTTTCATTGTGAGTGTAAAACTTACCTGGTTCCATCAACACAGGGTCGAGGACGTGCTCACTTATCTTTTTTCCTTCAGTTCAGTGCGGGAGGTGCTGCCTGGGATATGGACCACCAGAAACTATGCGTTGGTTAACTACGCTTTTCTCAATCGAAGACGAGGCAACGTAAGAGGGGGTTGTCTTGCTCAAAAAAAGGTAGCAACCAGGAAAAATAAATGTTTTGTGGTGTCAACGAACACTCGTTGGCACGTTTGTAATGTCAACGAATACTCGTTGTCCCTTTCGTAATGCTCATTGTAGTAGAGACTTTTGTAATCGCGATATATATATATATATATATATATATATATATATATATATATATATATATATATATATATATGAAGAAAAATACAGAAAAAAACAAACAAAAATCTTAATAT